GGGCTGAGCAGTGACGTACGGGACGCCGCCGGATTGTCTGTCAAGGCCATGGAAGAACGGTTCGACTGGAACGTGACATAGATGCTCACCGGAGCGGCACCCGACGGTTTGCTCTCTCACAGCGCGTGTTTAATCCAGCTATCCACCCCTGCAGGCCGAGCAATGTCTCCCTGATTCCAAGCAGCAACGACTCCCTGGCTGACCTCTCGACCCTGGCGTTCATGCTCAATGACCTGCTGCCCAAGCTCGGCACAGGATACTGGTCGGGGATTAACGCGAACTCAGGAGCGCGCTTCGTGCTGTTTCGGCACCAATTCGCACCAGCCTGCCGATCTCCCTCTCTTTCAACACAGGCGACATGATCGAGCCGTACACGACGGGATACAATACAAAAATCAATGTTGCGGCAAAAAAGTGGCTCAAGCAGATGCGCGCGCAGTGCGACTACGGCAACGGTGCGCCCCTGCGCACACACACAGCGCTCTGTATCTACAAAAGCGCTGACCCTCTGCTGCCTCCCCTCACACACAGACTACGTGACCCATGGCGTCCGCTTTGTCGCTGGCGTACAGCAGGCGCAGCGCGTGCGGTTCTTGTGCTCCTTCTCTGCCCCCGCCGCTACTCACGCGGGTGCGCTTTGTGGATAGGCGTTGATCAACCTCGCTCAGGAGGACGCAAACAAGAAGGTTAAGAACGCCATCAAGGAAGCGTTTGGCGAGTCCGGCGAGGCGAATTTTGACACCTGGGCGGCCGAGAAGAAGCTGCTGATCGGGGCAAGCCCCGCCCCCTGCCTGCCCTCTGGCTCTAAACTCAATGTGATCTGCCTGATCGCTCTCTGCCTCACGCTCGCTCCCTCTTCCTGACACCTCTCAGACTCAGATGTCTACCATGGCGCTGCAGCTATTTGTGACCACGCGCCAGCTCTGCCAGTCTTTTGCCTACCAGACGACCCAGCTCTTCCAGCAGTGCGTTGTCGGCAGCATCGGAGTCAAGTCGCTCAACAACCCGCTCGACGAGCTGTGCGGAAATTTCTCGACGGGCACCGCCTACTTCAAGCCGTTCAAATACGCCCTTTTCGCCGACGCGTCATACGGCGACCTCGATGGCTTCGAAAAGGAGGCAAAGGACTACGTCAAGGGTCTCCAGACGACGTACTCGCAGGTGAGAGCTGAGAGACTCACTCGCTGGGCTCACTCCAGACGATGTGCTTGTTCTAGCTCCTTCCGCCAGCTCTCTTAGCAGTATCCCCTGAACACAGGCGATGGCTGTCGACGATGCGTCACAAAAGCGGTTTGGGGCAAAGGCACTTCAGCTACCAATCGGCCCTTCCTCTCGCTCATCATTCGCCCGGAGAATCTTCCGCCGTGCAATGGAACGGACGGGTACGTCCGCACCGGTGAGCCAGTCGTATGCAGCATCGATTCTGATGCGAAATCAAATGGGGCTCCGTACCCGACAGGGCCGGACGACGGCCCGCTCATTGAGTTCTGGCACAACGACTCGTGCCTTCCAAATGCAAGTGCAGCACCGTTGTCGAGCGGAGAGACGTGCTGCCAGACCATCGCTTGGACCAATAACTGTGCGCGCCCCACTAAACATACCCACCCTACCGCATCCCGACCCGCACATCAGCACAGCTCAAGTTGTGCCTCAGACCGCGCTTCCACCGCCTCCGCGCAGGCACGCGAGACCCACCGGAGTCGAAGCAGCCTTTCATCTACGTCAGCGACGACGCTTGGGCCACGTTCAAAGATACGTCCGACGCTGCTACGTTTGGCCGGCTCAACATCGAAATTCGCCCGGATATGGTCGTGCGCGGCACTAAAGATTACAATGACCTCTTCCTCCGTGGGTTCGCGTTCTACATGCCGGGTGCGGTCTTCGAAGAAGGAGAGACGGCGTTCGCTACTCTTACGCCCAATGGGCAGATGCAGCAACGCGTGTACGACGAAAAGCGTGCGCCGGTGTGCCTGGACTATGGCAACCAGAATCTGTGCATGTATCGCAACTTCACCTTCGTCGCAGCGCCAACCGAACCCCCCCCGGACGGAACGACGAAAACGACGCAAGTCGTCTCGTACAGCATGTCGTACTCCAATCCGAACTCCCTCGGCACCTGCAATGGCATTGCAACCCAGCCAGTGTTTTACGCGGGAAAAAAAGTCACCGGGCCGAGGTGCGATCCGCCGTCGGATGGTAACAAGGCTTGCTACCAGTACTGCACCGATCAGGACTTGAGCAGCCTCGAGCAGGGCGACATTCGCTCCATGGCGATTGGGCCGTTCAACTTTGCGGCCCTCTTCACCTCGTACGTGCTCGAGGTCATGTTGTTAGCGCTCTAGCTAGCGCTATTCATACCTCATACGCCCAATATGCTGCCTCTCCCATTCGCTCATCGGTGCCCTCGCGCAGGTTGGTGCTAGCGGCGTCGACCGCCGCAGCGGCGTCGACCTCACAAACGTCGAGCAGATTCAGCTTGGTCCGTCCCCGAGCTTTCGTTGGCATGCACGCCAAACAGCGCACTCACACGCCTCCCAACTTTTGCGTGCATAGGCTTATGGCTCAAGTCGCACACAACCATTAAAGCTCCGCTTAGCTGCGACATGCGAAACTGCTGATCGTCGAGCCATCGTCGAGCCAATAGTCGCCCATGTTGTACGGCACCCCAGACTCCGTCGGCGCAAGCGCAACTAACGGAGAATGCAATGATGATGCGCTGCTGCTCCCTGGGTCCCTGGACTGCTATCGTGGTCCAAGGGAAGCCGGGCGGGCTGAGCTGGTTAGCACAGGTCCTAGCGTTCACCTGTAGGAACGCGCTGGATATGGATATGGGTAGCCTTGGCCCAGGAGGGAGCGTTCGCGTTTGACGCTAGGGAATCCCAGTTGCCTAAGGCCCCTCGCACTTCTTAGTCCCCCTAGGAAGCGTTCACCGCTAGGAACGCGCTGGACATAGGGGATAGCGTTGGCCGGGGAGGGAGCGTTCGCGCTTCGCGCTAGTTGGCTCTTGCCCGAGCACCGAGGAATTGTGCCATTGTGCCTCTGTATGCTGTATGAGCTCTCTATGTGGAAGGTGCTCTGCCGGCCGTTTTGTGTGTTTAGATCGACCAGAGAGAAGGTTGTGAGAGCACCTCATGAGGTCTTGTGCCATTGTGCCTCTGTACTTTATGCTGTATATGTGGAATGTGCTCTGCCGGCCGTTTTGTGTGTTTAGATCGACCAGAGAAGGTTGTGAGAGCACCTCTGATATATTGATATATGCGTCAATTAGCTTGCACGTCCTCCTCGACGCGAACGACAGCGGCGCGCGGATCCTCGGCGAATGTTTCGAACCACTCGACGATGAGCATGACCCCGTCCTCTCTCGCACCAGACGTGGTGGTGGGGGTGGGGGGGGGGGGGGGCATCCGAACCCAAAGCGTGACCCCCAACGCTCCCTGGCCCTGAACTGATCCTCTACTCGATGCATCCGATCGTGCCAATTCCACCGCCACATAGCGCACGCGCCCTAGCCCAAACGCTCGTCCCCCCCTCCCCCAATCCTCGCCCACCCCCCGCAAGGGCACGCCCCGCAAGGTACACCAAGCCGGCCGCTGCAAGCGCCTCTTGGCGTCCTTGGCACGCGGTGACAAGACCAGACATGTGCACATGCACATGCACATGCACATGTGCATTTCCATGTCCATGTCCACGTGGCACATGCGCATGCACACCGCACGTGGTCGGCGTCGATCGTGGCGATACCCGTGCCGCGCATCCGCCTCGCTCGTATGAGCTGCCGTGCGAAGAGCAAGCTGCCGTGGGTGGTGCTGCCGCGCGCGGCCCTCGTGGACTCCGTCTAGCGCGAGTCTCACCTGTGACCCACACAACGCCTGTGCGGCATCAGGTGCAAGGCTCCATGCGAGCAGCTCTTGTTCGGCAAGCTCCACGCGGCGGTGCGATTCCCCGCCGCGCGCGCGCATCGCAGGCAAGTTTGTGTACTTGCACCGGAGGGTAGTGCGGCGTAGCGCGGGGGGGGCGAACCACGCTAGTTGGGTGGGCGGTGCTCCCTCTGGCAATGACGAACCCAAACAGGATTCTCAATGCGCGCCAGTCCCGTGCCCAGTGTTGTGCGAGGGAGGTTGTAAAATTCTCAATCCGCAATACCATGGGGACGAAATGTCGCCCTGCGCTGGGGTGCTGAGCCAATGTGGGTGGGGTGGGCAGCACGTGCAGCGAGCTTGCCGCGATCTCGGCGCGATCTCGGTATCATCTCGGTTGATCGCGCGTGAGCTGATGAGATGATGAGCAGCACGTTCGGTTCATCGCTGAGAAGCATGATGCCACCAAACGCAGACCTGTTCTGATCCCTCCCCACCGCCAGTGCCAGCCCCCGAAGTTGAGCCCATGGCCCCGCGGGCGGAGGTGATGCCATGTGCACTGCTCGGTTCATCCCACTGACAGTCTTGAGGAGAATTGCAGTCCGCTGATCCGTCGCCGCCACCCCCGCACTAAGCCTTGCACAGTGCCGCCAAAAGCTGGCCTGGCGCGGCATCCCCACCCCCACGCTCAACTGCAGTGTAGTGGCTGCGATCTGAGGTCTGAGGTGTAGCCATACTCATCTCAAGTGTGTGGGCAGGGTCTGCGGCTCTGCGGCGCAACAACGCAACAACGATCCATCGATCCCCACACACGCGCCCACACCTCCCCGGCGCAGAGAGAGAGAGAGGGGGGGAGGGAGTGCTGCTGAGGGAGAGAGAGCCCCCCGGAGGGAACTGTACATGCTACATGCACATTAGTCATTACGGCTTTACTTCTTAACTTGGTCCCACGTCGCGGTCGGGGGGCCGGACGGTTGACAGTTGTCGTCCCGGACATAGGGAAGGGGCCGGTTTGTTATACAGCTGTAACAGCAAGCACAGACCAGCCCAGAGAGCACAGCAATCTGTCATCTGTTTCTCGTGGACTCCTCGTGCGGGAAAATTTTGACCCAACAGCCAACTCAGGGCGGCGCTCACCCGCGGTCACCCGCGCGTCCTCCGGCAAACCCCAGCCGGCGCGCTCCACGTTCGCTCGCACTCGTCCCCGGGACACCACATGCCCGGCCGAAGGTGCGGCCGCGGCGGGAACGGATGCGCGTTTGCGCCCGGCGTTTGCGCCGTCAGGCAGACAGTGCGCTGCGGGCTCTCGCCCGGCGCTCGCACGTGCGCGGCGAGCGACTCGACATTGCCGCGCTTGACGACCACCACGTCGTACTCCGCCGGATGGAAGCGCGAGGTGAGCCGCTCGACGTCGCCTTGGCCAAAGAAGGCCCACGCTGCGCGCTGCAGCACGACCGTGACCTCGGCCGACGCGTCGAGCACCGCCCACGCGCCATCGTTGACGAGACCGCGCACCCGCGCGTCTCGCAGCTCGAGCGGCCCGCAGCCGTCGCCGTAGCTCGCGCCGATCGCCTCGCCCGCGCCGATGCGAACAGAAGGCAGCGCCGCGCGCCCCTCGGCGACGGCCGCGGCGCACGCCTCGACCGCACCGGAGTCGACGAGCCCCGCGATGAGGACGCGCGGGCGGCGGGCGTGCGGAGGCCACGCGGTCGCCGACGAGGCAAGCTGCAGCAGCCGGCGGCACACGTACGGCACGTCTCCCGACGCGCCCGCGTTTGTGTTGTCGCCGAGGCCGCCGATCAGGACGCGCCGCCCCGCAGCCACGCTGGAGACGACCTCTGCCTCCGCGTCGGCCCACGTGACGAGAGGCGAGCCCGACGGGTACGTGAAGCTCGAGCGCCGATCCCAGTACCACTGTGCAATCTCGCGCGCAAGCTCGCCCAGCGGGCCCGCGGCCGACGCCTCGCCGCTCAGCACGACCGCGGCGCCGACGCGCGGCTCGTCAGCGAATCCGTGGCCGACGAAGAAGGACGCGTCGAGCAGCCCGGCGGTGGGCCACCGCACGCTCTCGTCCGCCGGCCCGAGGTGCTCCACCAGCGCCGGCGTCTGCCATTCGCGCGGCTCGAGGTCGCGGAGCCACCGGTAGAGCAGCCGGCCCTGCCCCTCGGTCGTCAGCACCGTCTCGCCGTGCAAGATGGCCGGGATGGTAACGACGACGACCGCCGGCTCCACGGCGCGCTGCAAGCACGCCAGCAGCATCCGCAGCGCCTTGAACTTCGTCTCCTCCATGTCGACGTGCGGCATGGTCTTATAGGCCGCCACCAGGTCAAGCGCCGCAGCGAGCCGCTCCGAGACGTTGCCATGCAAATCGAAGGAGGCCGCGGCAATGCGCACGCCGCCCGGGGCTGCGCCGCGCACCGCCTCGACGAGTTCGGCCTCGGCGTCGTCGGACCCTTCAGCGCTCATTGCGCCATGCAGGTCAAAGTAAAGGCCGGCGAGTCGCTCACCGCCGCTCACCATCCCACGGCACCGCTCCACCGCCGCCGCCTTCATTGCTGCAAAGTCTCCAGCAGGCACCGCGCCGCCGCACCAGCCTCGGTAAAGCACTCCAAAGCGCACGTCCACGTCGGCGAAGAGCTCCGGCTGCGCTGCTCGCAGCCGCCCGACAAAGCCGGCCTGACGCTCGTCGCGCTCATAGCCGTCGCCCTCAAGGAACTGGAAGCTGGACAGCCGCCGCGGCGCTGGGTTGAACGCGTTGGACTCGAGCGCGAAGGAGAAAACGCCGACGACGAGCCGCTCCGCGCGCTCGCGCTTCAAGAAGTTCATGCCTTCGCTCGAGCAAAGACAAGAGGCTAAGACAAGAGGCTTCCGGAAGTTGAGCAAGACAAGAGACGTCTAGCAAACGCGCGACCACCGCTGAGCAAACCCTGGCGAACAACGCGGGCGAGGCTATTCACAGCACAAGCCCTCGCCGAGGGCTCGAGCATGCGCAGCGAAAAGCACCGGACGGACCCGCGCGCGCGAGGGGCAGGCGTTCCCAAGGGGACGATCCTGTGTCTCGGCAGGGTGCTCGACGCGCACGATGAGCAGGACGACGCGGAGGGTGGGCACCGGGACTGGGAGGAGGACCCGCTCGGGTTCGACACCAACCCGATGCTGCTCCGCGCCATGTGCATGGCGTTCGAGTGAACGCCGTGCAGGCAGCCCGTGCCTTTTGGTGTACCGCGTTGGTACCGCGTCCTGTGCCCCCGAGTTCATTTAAAAACGGACCCCCGGTGTGAAAAAGTGAGGCGTCGTCTCTACTCGCCAGAGCATACGCCCTTGGTGTGCAGCGAGACGAGTTTTTCGCCATGCAGCGAGCAGCAAGCCGCCCACCGCAAACAGCCGGAGGCATCGCCACGGCACAGACTGCGCCGCGCTCCCGCACCCGTCGACGAAGCTCCCCCCGCGGAAGACCGCGCGTTGCGACGCCTTGACGATCGAGATGAGCGCGCTCGAGGCTCGCCCACCTACTGCCCCTGAGAGTTGGTTATGAGTGGGATCAGCTCCCCCCCTTGGGATCGAAGCCGCCACAACCTCACACCCAACATCACAGGTGGGATCAGAGAGAGACTCCACACCGGACACCGCCCGGGCACAGACTCCCTACCCATCGGATTGCACAGGGGCCCCTCGGAGCAGCCCACACACAATCACGCATCGGCAGAATTAGTGCCTGAGTCAGGCCGACAGCAGACAAGGACACACACACACACACACACACAACGTCGGCGTAGACGCCACTGACCTCATCTGCTCTCACTGGCAACGTGACTCTGCACTGCTTGCGCCGAGTCTCTCAAAACTTGAGAGCTCACGCCCTGGCCGAACTCGCGAGGCGGCCGCCTCCAGCGGCACTGCGTATTGATCCCGAGGAGCGCAGGGTGCTGACGTCTGAGGAAGGCTCTGAAAGGATGGCCGAGCTTCGGGAGGGCTGGGACCTGTTCCTGAGGGACGAGGTCGTCGCCACTCCAGCCGAGCTGGACCGCCCGCTCCGTGCGTTGGAGCTCCATGCAGAACCTGCTTCAGGAGCAGGCAAGGCTGCCAGGCGGCCGCGCGCACCGCACCGCCGCGCGGGTGCGATTCCTGGATGCAGCCACCTTCAGTGACTTTGTCCTACTCGTGATGGCCGGAGAGCAGGATTACGACGGAGACGTGTGCGGGCTATGCGGCAGCATCTGGTCGCAGCGGCCAGGCTGGGACGCGTGGGAAGCCGGCGCTCTGCTTCATCTTCTGGGAGGGCGCGCCTGGGCCGATGGGCGTGTCCAGCCCCATAGGCGCGGCCGCGGTTCGCAGCGCTGTTCAAGCCACAAACCAGCTTCGAGGGGATGGAGATCCTCTGCAAGAAATGGAGCTCGTCGCGAGGCTGAAAGACACGCACATTGGACCTGTGCTGGACTCAACAGGGCCGTGGTGCTGTCCTGAGAAGGTGCGTGGTCCCTCTTGACTGCCCATGCGCGCGAGGCTGTGTAGGCATAGCCTCGAGAGTGCCAGCAGCCAATCCGAGGCGACGCGCATTGCGCCAGAAGCGTGCACGCAGCTGGAAGGACACCTTCCTACTGGCCGTACGATCAGGTCGTCACTGAATGCTTGATACTAATAAGGCCGCGAGCTATGCAGGTGATCAATTGTGCAGCATGGCACGGTCAGCAGCGCCGACAGGCTGTCGCAAGGCGTGATAGCATGGCCGCAAGTACGCCGAATTCCCATGAAAACAACTGAAATAAATAAATAAAACGCAGACCTCTACTGTGAGATGGGTAAAAAGGAACAGGTCCCCGCCCTTGCGATCTTTGTGCAGAGGGTTCTTTGTGGGTGTGGTCGGCGACTAGCCGGGGTCGTCCTCCCGATGGGGGACTAGCACTAGCCGTCTTCCACATGGTCCCTCGGGTCCCGGCCGCCCTTGCACGGGACCATGTTCGTCCTCGTGTTGGTCACGAGCTCGACCTCGCTCCCGACCGCAGGTGCGTCGATAATGCTGAGCCCCTAGGGCGATCAGCCGGCCGCCATCACACGCCTCCGAGCTCGACTACGCCGCCACCATCACTGCCGATAGCCACGACGCCCGTCGCTTCCTTCTCCGCCGCCACCGCAGCCGCAGCTGCCGCCGTCTGGCCGCTCGCTGCCTCCCCGCCACACCTCCGCCACCGAGGCCTGCGCTGCGGCGAGGGAGCACGAGGCCGGCGAGGAGACGCGCGCACTGCGTCGCATAATCGCCTACCCGGCGCGAAGCGCCGCGATCCGGGCGCGGGTACGGTCGCCCGTCGGATTCGCCTCCTCCCTCACGCAGACTCTGGCGTGCGGTGGGTCGGTCGCCAAGACGCGTCCCTAAGCTTTACACGGGCGCGTGGAGCACCGGACCACCGTGGTCGAGTCCGTGCATTCCGGCCGCACACAGAGGGTCGCGAGGCCAGTGCTGCGCCCCAAACGACCCCTCGTGGTGGGTGCATGAGGCGGGTTGCGCGCGCGTGAAGCGCCGCTCTCGCGTTCAGAGGTGCCGTGGTAGGTACCGTGGCGGGATGTGCCGGCAGATCCTCGCGTCTCCGACGACCGGCCAACTATAACAGCCGCGATGCGCTCGGCGGCCCTGCCTGCTGGGCGCGCAGCCGGAAGTGAGGGTCGGGGCGGCCATCTGGATGGCGCGCTGCCCGGCGGGTAGCGGTGTTGGGCGGGGGAGCGCGTCGATTGGGCGGCAGCGCGCACCTACATGGCCTGGCCAGCGTCGCGCACGAGAGCGAAAGCGAGGCCTGGAGAGGCGCTTCAAGCGAGGGTGGCCTCTTCACGGGACCTCGGCGAGACTGTTCAAGCCTAAGTGTCCCATAACCTCTTGCGACGCAGGTTCCGACCCTCTGCGTGGCCGACTCACACAGCGAGCCTTCCTGTCTCCCTGCTGCCGATTCATCGGTGGTGCTCAGTCAAGATATTGTAGAGACCGACCATATGCACAATTTCTTGACTGAGAGCTAAGTCCAGTTCGACGATCGGTAGCCTCACCGCGGGTCGCGCCGCTGCGCAGCGAGAGCCAGGCTCGCCCGGCGAAGGTGACCAGAGAGTGCTCAACAAATACCAGAAAAAATCAGGGAGCCTCAGAGAGTGCCACTGCCACCACCCAGGCCGCGGGAGCCGATCGGCTGCGCCGAGGACAGCTCCCTCAGTGTGCTCCGCGGCTCACCAGTGTGCGCCGCGGCGCCGTCCAGCCACTTTGGCGGCCAGCCACCGGTCGAGTTCTTCGACTCTGGAGGACAGAAAGGTACCGTCTCAAAGGTATTTTCATGCTCTATTGACTGGCGAAAAAATCCCCCGCAAAATGTTTTCACAGCGGGCGTGATTCACACCGAAGCATGAGTGAAGCATCAGCTCGAAGAGGATAACTCCGCGAAGGCGCCCGCAGGGGCGGCCGTGCTAGCCCCACAGTTGGCTGCCGACCCTGTCCATCACGCACATATGCTACTGATATTCGTTCAGAGTGGTGCTCTGGAGGGTGGCGCGGCGCAGTGCAGCGCACTGCGGGGCGGGGCGGCGGCAGGACTGGTCTCGTCTCCCGCGGCGCAACATGCCTTCCGACCTGCTGGGCGTTCGGCGGTGCGTCTGCAGGAATGGGCGGCGAGGCCTGCCTGGGAGTCTGCGGACATGCCGACGTATGATTACCGAAACCAGACCTTCCCGGTGATCCTCGCCGGGATGAGACGGTGCAGGTCTTCGCGGCCGGCATTGCAGGCTGCGACTTGACTCTCCCCACAACACTGATGCCTGCGTGCGTGTGCAGGGAAGACCGCGGCGCCATACCGGCGCTGCTGGAGCAGCTCGTGGAGCGCGACTTCTTTTCGTACTTTCCTGTCAACCTCATCACGCCGTGCATGTACTTTCCGTCTGGCGACGCGGGTTGCGAGATGGCGACCTGCGAGATCCGCACCCTCCTTCCGATGTGGCGACCCGCACGTGGTATCGCCTATCATGTCCCTCAACCTGCCCCGTAGGCGCCGCGCGCGAGCGCGACATCCCACCAGCAGTCATCGCCCGCGACCGAGAGGAGTACAATGTGCAGCGCACCCGCTCGCCGAGAGATCTCGGCTGCTGGTCCTACCATGAGTGGATCTCAGCCTCAGCCGTTCCTTTGTGCTCCACGTCTGCGTAGTTCCTCATCGACGGGTGGGTGAGCAAGGACATGCCGTCCGACTTTACAGAGTACTTTGACTTGCGCGAGGTATCCACTTCGGCCGCACCTCGGCACCTCGGCCGCACCTCGGCTGCACCTCGGCCGCACCTCTGTGCTACCTGCTTAGTCTGCGTCGCGCAATACGGGGTACAACGGGCAGCGCGTGTGGCGCTTCATTCACACCAATCTGTGCTTCCAAAAGCGGCTGCAGCAGGAGGAGACGGGCTGGGAGCGGGGCCCAGTGCACAGATGGCTGGCTCACAGCGGGCATGTTCACAGGAGGAGATGGGGTGGAAGCGCGACTTCAACCGGCTCGTCTCGGGCATGCATGCAGTGGTGGACTGCGAGATCATCGAAGATATCGGCCGTACCGAGGAGGGGCGGTGTGAGTACCGCCGGCCGCTTGACGACGAGTGCGGGCTCCACCCTCCGCTGGACCTCTCTTTCTGAGCGCAGTTTCTGATCCCAGGCGGCTTCGCGACGAGCCGGGCTCGATTCTCAACCTGTACTATGCCTACATGCTCACCCTCTCCGCCATCCGCGAGGTGTGTACCTCGGCTGCATCTTCATCTCGGCTTCGTCTCGGCCGCATCTCGGCCGCATCGCATCTCAACCTCCTCCCGTACCTCGGCTGCACATCTCGGCTGCATAACGCGAGGGGGCGGAGAAGATCTTCATCCCCAGGGCCTCCAGGGCACGCACCCTCACCCTCTCATAGACAAGCGCGCAGCGGTACACTCTGATGGACAAGCGGTCAGCTCTTCTTCCTAACAAGGTCCGTGCAACAGGTGTCGAAGGGCCCCTCCTTTGAGAGTTGCGCCTATCTGGGCGACGCCTCCATCCCGCCGCTGATGCGAGCGCTGACCAGCGACGACCTGCTTGCGAGCGATTCCGTCCACACCCCCGTAGATGCCGGAACACAGGCCCGTCTCTCCCCAGCTCTCCCCAGATCTCGAGGCCTAGATGGCGGACGGCAGATCCTGTGTCTTCCGAGCAGCGCTCGAGAGTACGGAACGGGAGGGGCTCGAGAGGCCACGTAGTCCGCCGCACCACATCGCGCGCGCACACCGGCCACTCATTCACGAACCGGTCCATCAAGCATAGAGGGGTCACTACTTTATCTGGGCTTCACTTCCTAGCATCCGTGAGGATACATTGGAGCGTACTAGGGTCCGTCTGGAGTCGTCGCGTGCCTCCACAAGGAAGAGCTACGCAGTACCTGTCAACATTCATAGGTCCAAAGCGCGGCAGCGAGCTTGCGCGCACACGCCTCCTCGCCAGACTTTGCCGTCTGGAAGCTGCGCCTGCGCACGCGCCACCTCAAGCTGATCATGGGTTGCGTGGAGTGCAACGTGTGCAAGGTGCATGGCACGGTCCTGGTCATCGGGCTGGCCTCGACGCTGCAGGCGCGCCACGAGGTGTGAGTCGATGGAGGTCGATGGATCAATCGATCGCTGTACCACGTGGTGACTGGTGCCACGCAGAGATACCCGCACGGCGGCGCTCAGAGCTCACTCGTTCATTCCTGCGTCAATCGGCGGCGACGGAGGAATGGCCAGTTCATTAATGGCTCCGTGACCGACTGCAGGTGCTGCTCGGTGACGACGGAAGCCGAGACGCGACTCAGCCCGCGGAGGCACAGCCGAGATACTGCCGAGATGTAGTCGAGATGTTGCTGAGATGTTGCCGAGATACAACCGAGTCATAGCGGAGACATAGCCGACACAGACAGAGCCCGAGATCGAGTCCGGACGCGATTCAGCCCGGTCGTGCAGCGATCCGACCGCTCGAGTTGTAGGTCGGTTGTATCTCCGCTGTGACTCGCAGTATCTCGGCTGTATCTCGGCTGTCACCTCGGCCGTATCTCGGCGCTAGGAGCGACCGGACCCGCTCAAGCTCGATCGCGTGTCGCTGGGCTCGCTGGTCGCAACGGTAAGCCAAACGCCCCAACGCGTGCGCCAAGAAGAGTCAGGATTGAAACGAGTACGAATTTTGATAGGCAGCCAAGCTCAGCCGTGCGTGCGCCACCGTCGAGCGCTTCCGCGAGTTTGACGGCGAGGACTTGTCCCAGGCCTACTTTGGCGCACCACGGCCGCACGCGGATCCCAGCTAGCAGGGGGGGGGGGGGGGGGGCACGTGCTTGCCACTCCCGGGCCCGGCCCGCGCGCTTTGCCGGGCCCGGCTCGCCACTCCCGGGCCGAAGCGCCCAAATCAGCAGGTCGAGGAGCGAGGCGGGCCCGGCGAGGAGAAAACCGGCCCGGCAAACCGTCCTGCCCGGGCCCGTCTGCGGCACATCGACCGGCCCGCTCACTCACAGCCGGGCCCGGGCAGGAGGGTTTGCCGGGCCCGTTTTGCGCGAGGCGGGCCCGGCGAGGAGAAAACCGGCCCGGCGAAAGCACGCTCGGCGGCCCGGGAGCGGCCACTTTTGACCCGGCCGGGGCCCGCCGGTGCCCCTGCCGGGCCCGGAACCGGCCCCGCCCGGGCCCGCCCCACTTACGTCCGGGGCCCCAGTTATATCCGGCGGCTTCCTAGTACCGTATATACGGTACTACTTTCGTTTACCCACATTATGCGAGTACCTGTATTGATTGCTAAAAATCTCGGCGGGCGGGTGCGGCGGCAAGAGCGGCCGCACACGGCTCGGTACCCCCCGGGCACACTAGAGCCCAGGGCCGCCCCCCCCCCCAGCAGCAGCGCTCTGCTGCTGGGGGGGTCGGGACCCCCCCCCCCAGCAGCAGCGCTCTGCTGCTGGGGGGGTCGGGACCCCCCCCCCAGCAGCAGCGCTCTGCCTGTGGGGGGTGCTGGCATCTCTGTGTACAGACAGCAGCTGTAAGTAGCATGCGTTCGAGTTGCGAGAATTTATGGTCGGCATCAAAATCAGTGGTCTCACCGGCGGGGCCTCCTACTACCAACCGGGCGGTGCGGGGCACGCCAGCCTCTCTTCTACGCCTCTCGTGCCTCGCGGCGCCTCTGCGTCAAGGAGGGAAGATACGGCTCTCGCAGCCCATCATACGCCGTGGCACAGCGGAGAGCACAGCGGGCTGTACAAGTCCATCGGATAGTGCTCAATATCTTCGCATGCTCGTCGTTGGTGATATCCGTGCGAGGTCATACGCCACAGGCCAGCAATCACTCGGTGATGAGACTATTGATGTAGGCGCGACGCTCTGACACCGAGTGTTGTGTGGTAGTACAAGATAGACTCACCATGGTCACAAGTCTTTAGTAAAACGCCAGCACTCGACACGACGTCGTGTATTGGGCTCGAAGGCGCGGTGAACACAACTGCCTCGAGCGTACCGCTCAAACACGAGCCGAGGGGGCGGGAGGGGGGGCGGCGGGAGGCGGGAGCTGGGTCCAGTGCGCTCGGCTGCTGGGGGGGTCGGGCTGGGGGGTCAGACCCCCCCCCCTAGCAGCAGGGACGGGCTTAGAAGTGCAGGGGGGGTACCGAGCAATGTGCGGCCGCTCCAACGCGGCTGGCGGCGGCGGCGGCGGCGACGACGGCGGCGGCCGCGCAATGTTTCCACCCTGTGGCCGCCAATCAGTGGGCTTGCAGTCCCGTGCCCGGTAGTATAGCTTGGTCTTAAAATTCTTTTCAGGCGATGCGTGTTCATGGATGTCACGCCTGGTTTTACACCTTGCGCTGGCTTTACCACCTTGGCGTTCCAGGACGCCTCCATAGCAAGAGCAAGAGCCAAAGCCGCTCAGCATTTGCGAATGAGCGTCACGCTCGTCATCCTAGTCTCCGCTTCTGCCGCACGCCGGTCGAGCATCTCCAGTCCGACAGCTTTCGTCCACCTCTCTCTTCCCCACGCCGGCGGTGAGCGGCGGGCGATCGACAGACCGGCAAACACTTCTCGAGCCACAAACCAGGAATACAAGATCGAGGCACCGCCCGATGTGGTGGCGACTGACTGGCGGGGCGCCTGCGCCTCCGTTGACCGCGCCGACTCCTCGCTGCTCGAGGTCGAGCAGGCCGAGCTCGAGCGGAGTGACCAGGCACTCGGCGACCCGCAGTGCACTCGCCACGTCGCCGCACTGCGTATTCGCCCACCCTTCGCCCCTCTAGAACACCTCATGCGCCGCTCTACCCTGCCCTGACTGCTCTGAGCGCTGCCCTGACTGCTCTGAGCGGCATTCGCTTCTATCGTTCTCCTCCTGCGCGCCTGACGGAACCCCCCCTCTCCCTTCTCAGGGAGAGAGCGAGGCACCCGACATGGACACGACCGGCAGCGCTCCCTGGTACCGCCTTGTGGGTACCCTCGTGCTCGAGTCCGGGGAGCCACCCGGCTGCTGGGCCGCCCCTGGCATGGAGCGCGCGGACCAGGCGATCAGCGTGGACCAGGCGATCAGCGTTGTTCTCTGCCGCGCCGCCGCATCGCGTATCGCCAACCCGTCACACCCCTCTGGCCTGCCTGTCGCACGGCCTGCCCTGCGTGCCCTGCCAAGCCACTCGCTTCTCGCTCATCGCGTGACGGACTGTCGCACGCGCTTGCCTTTCCGCAGGCGGAGATCAACACGGCCGAGACGAACACGGCCGGCAGCTCTCCCCTCCTCATCGGTGCCCTCATGGGGTGCCTGGGCTTCTCTGTCGTGGCGCTGTCGTGGAGCGGCTCCTCGGCCAGCAAGACTGGCCCCGACAAGGTCGACGGCCAGAAGCGCTCGAGGCGCGCCAAGGAGAACGAGGTCATGGCACTGACTGGCAGCACTCAGATCTTCTTCTTCTTCTTCTACTTCGTCGCAATGGTCGGCTTGTGCGGCGTGGCCTACGAGGCCTTGAACACTCGGGGGCGCGGCGCCATGTCGGGTCTCCTATCCGTCAACAGCATCGTGCCCGAGTTGTGTGCGGCCGACGCAGCTTGGCAGGCCCGGAGGCTGGTCGAGACGGGCGTCGTCGGCGCGGGAGCCTTGCTGCTCAAGCCAACCGCCGCACACGTCCGCGTGGCCGCCGCCGCGCTGCTCGTCGGCAGGGCGGCCGCGCAAGATGTGTGTGGCGAGTGCGTCGCGTGCAAGTGCGTCGAGTGCGTCGATGGGATCCCTTCGGGATGCTATCCCTACGATCCTACCTACGGGCCCGTGGACGCTGAAGAGTGCATACTCCACGGTGGCATTGATTGCTCCGTCTCATCGCCATCGCTGCCGCCGCTGCCTCCACTACCGCCACTCTCTTCGCCGTCGCCACCCTTTCCGCCGCCGCCGCCGCCGCCGTCGCTGCCCCCGCCTCTTCCACCATATCCGCCACCAACCTACGCCGCAAGCACCTTCACCGAGCTCCGCGGCGCGGTCAACAACCAAACCGGCAGGCCTGGCGCCCTCGTCGTCGAGCTGCCAGAGGGAGCCCGCCTCGAGTGGGCCGTCTGCTCGCAGCTTCGCGTGCACGTCGCGCACATGACGCTGCGGAGCGTGGGCGCCGGCGCGACCCTCGACGCCAGGGGCTGCTCCCGCCACTTTGACGTCGCCTTTGGCGGCACGCTCGAGCTCGAGCGCGTGCACCTCATCAACGGCGGCGCTCAGGCGAGCGGCGGGGCGGTCAAGGTGCGGCACGGCGGGACTTTGATTGCGACTGAGTCGTCGGTCGAGGACTCGAGCGTGGTCTCGCTCGACGGCGCGGCGTACGGCGGCGCCATCGACGCTTCGAACGAGATGGCGATTGACAAGGTGCTGGAGAAGCTGAACGCACACAGCAGCGACATCAAATCGGTCGCCTACTCGCCCGACGGGAGCCGCATCGCCACGGTCGGCAGCGACAAGGCGCTGCGCGTGTGGGACGCCTCGGACCTGTCCTCACCGCCTCTGGAGAAGCTGAACGCACACAGCAGCACCATCACCTCGGCCAGCACCATCACCTCGGCCGTCTACTCGCCCGACGGGAGCCGCATCGCCACGGTCGGCTGGGACAAGGCGCTGCGCGTGTGGGACGCCTCGGACCTGTCCTCACCGCCTCTGGAGAAGCTGAACGCACACAGCAGCAACATCTACTCGGCCGTCTACTCGCCCGACGGGAGCCGCATCGCCACGGTCGGCTGGGACAAGGCGCTGCGCGTGTGGGACGCCTCGGACCTGTCCTCACCGCCTCTGGAGAAGCTGAACGCACACAGCAGCAACATCTACTCGGTCGCCTACTCGCCCGACGGGAGCCGCATCGCCACGGTCGGCAGCGACAAGGCGCTGCGCGTGTGGGACGCCTCGGACCTGTCCTCGCCGCCTCTGGAGAAGCTGAACGCACACAGCGACAGCATCTGGTCGGTCGCCTACTCGCCCGACGGGAGCCGCATCGCCACGGTCGGCTGGGACATGGCGCTGCGCGTGTGGGACGCCTCGGACCTGTCCTCGCCGCCTCTGGAGAAGCTGAACGCACACAGCAGCACCATCACCTCGGCCGCCTACTCGCCCGACGGGAGCCGCATCGCCACGGTCGGCGACGACAGTGCGCTGCGCGTGTGGGACGCCTCGGACCTGTCCTCGCCGCCTCTGGAGAAGCCGAACGCACACAGCAGCAACATCTACTCGGTCGCCTACTCGCCCGACGGGAGCCGCATCGCCACGGTCGGCGACGACAGTGCGCTGCGCGTGTGGGACGCCTCGGACCTGTCCTCGCCGCCTCTGGAGAAGCCGAACGCACACAGCCGCACCATCACCTCGGCCGTCTACTCGCCCGACGGGAGCCGCATCGCCACGGTCGGCTGGGACAAGGCGCTGCGCGTGTGGGACGCCTCGGACCTGTCCTCGCCGCCTCTGGAGAAGCCGAACGCACACAGCAGCCGCATCACCTCGGTCGCCTACTCGCCCGACGCGAGCCGCATCGCCACGGTCGGCTATGACAAGGCGCTGCGCGTGTGGGACGCCTCGGACCTGTCCTCGCACTTGCTTGAGAAGGAGAACGCACACGGCTGGGACATCACCTCGGCCGTCTACTCGCCCGACGGGAGCCGCATCGCCACGGTCGGCTGGGACAAGGCGCTGCGCGTGTGGGACGCCTCGGACCTGTCCTCACCGCCTCTGGAGAAGCTGAACGCACACAGCAGCACCATCACCTCGGTCGCCTACTCGCCCGACGGGAGCCGCATCGCCACGGTCGGCAGCGACAAGGCGCTGCGCGTGTGGGACGCCTCGGACCTGTCCTCACCGCCTCTGGAGAAGCTGAACGCACACAGCAGCACCATCACCTCGGCCGTCTACTCGCCCGACGGGAGCCGCATCGCCACGGTCGGCTATGAAAAGGCGCTGCGCGTGTGGGACGCCTCGGACCTGTCCTCGCCGCCTCTGGAGAAGCCGAACGCACACAGCCGCACCATCACCTCGGCCGCCTACTCGCCCGACGGGAGCCGCATCGCCACGGTCGGCTGGGACAAGGCGCTGCGCGTGTGGGACGCCTCGGACCTGTCCGCGCCCTTGCTGGAAAAGCTGAACGCACACAACGGCTGGGACATCGACTCGGTCGCCTACTCGCCCGACGGGAGCCGCATCGCCACGGTCGGCTGGGACAAGGCGCTGCGCGTGTGGCCAATACCTTACTTGTACCTGCAGAGTGACCCACAGCCCCCGCCTCACGTCGAGCTGACATCCGCCACCCTCGCACGTTGCGCCGCCGTCGGCTACGAGCGCGCGAGCGGCGGTGGGCTCTCGTTGCGATCTGGCGATCACGCCCTGAACGCCTCCACGATTACAGCGTGCGCGGTCACCTCCAGCGCCTCGGCATCGGGCGGTGGACTCTTTGTCCGCGACGCAACGTTTGCCATCCAAGGCGCCGCCTTCGTTGACAACGACGCCACCGTCGGCGCTGCCATCGCATACGAGTCTGGCCCGACCTTTGACGCGGTGTCGACGCTGAGCAGCACGCGGTTCGTGGGAAACAGCACGAGCACCGTTTTCTTTCCCTCAGCCATCACTTGGGAGTGCAACCTCGGTCAGTGGTCGTCAACAGTCGGAGAGGTCTCGGGCGACTTTGAGGGCTGCGCCAACCTCTGCGCGGCGGGATCAGTGGGGACAACTACCTCTCACATCACGCCCACGTGCGGTGGGCCGTGTCCGCAGGGCAGGTATTGTCTTGAGGGCACAGTGACACCGACACCCTGCGCAGCGGGCTTCTACATGCCCGTCACCGGCGCAGCTAGTGCCGAGTCGTGCATCCCGTGCTCTCCGGGGCACAGCCAGTCCAATCCTGGCGCAGACAGCTGTGACGCCTGTCCGGCCGGCACATTCGCGAACCAGCTCAACGCGACGGGCTGTACGGACTGCCCCGCGGGAAGCTTCTGCCCGCACATAGGCACCGTTCAAGCGCTCGAGTGTCCTGCGGGCCGATACCAAAACGAGACGCGTCGGACCGAGTGCACACAGTGCCCCCCCGGCCGATTCCAGCCAGAGCGCGGGCAAACCTCATGCGACAGGTGTGACGCGGGAGGGTTCTGCAATAATACTGAGGAATGCGGCGGCGGCTTCACGCCGTGCCGTGCGGGGACGTACAATGAGGAGGAGGGCAGCAGCTCGTCCGATGCCTGTCAGCAGTGCCCCCTCGGAACCTTCAGCCCGACCACCGGCGCAAACAGCAGCGGCACGTGCAAAAGCTGCCGCGCCGGGAGCTTTGGCGCCAGCCCCGGGCAGAGTGAGTGCGAGCTGTGCGCCCAGGGCTACTACCAGAGCGAGCCCGGCCAGGCCGCCTGCGTCCGCTGCGCGTCTGGCAAGTATTGCCCGTTGGGTTCGTCGCGCGAGCTGGACGCGCAGTGCGAGGCGGGCACGTACGCCAACGTGACGGACGCCGACGGCGACCCCGAGTGCCTCGCCTGCCCTGCCGGCTCGTCGTGCGCAGGAGGTGGCGCCGCGCCTGCCGTGTGCTCTCCAGGAACCGCAGCCAAGCTTGCTCAAGGCCACTGCACCGTCTGCGGCGTCGGGACGTACCAGCCGGACTCCGGAGCCGCGGGCTGCCTCGAGTGCGCGCCGGGTACGTTCTGTCCAAAGGGAAGCAGCGCACAGCTGCCGGCGACCTGTCCCGCGGGCTTCTACAACGGCAACGCGTCCGCGACGCTGGAGAGCCTCAACGATTGCGTCGGTTGCGCGCCTGGCGGCTTCTGTGCCGGCGGCGCCGCGCAGCCAACGCCGTGCGCTCCAGGCAGCATCGCCTCGTCAGCCAACATGTCCACGTGCGAGCTGTGCCCGAAAGGCAACTTCGCAGCCTCCACCACCGCTTGCGAGGAGTGCGAGGCGGGCACCTACGCGGCGAGCGACGGCCTCTCACAGTGCACTCCCTGCCCCCACCCCCTCAGCTCTAAGAGCGGCGATGTCACCTGCTCCATCTGCAAAAACGACTTCTACTTGAAGGACGCGAGCGCCCTCGCGGATGACGTCTTCCAGAACCCAACCGAGCACTGCAAGCCGTGCCCACTCAACGCCAACTGCAGCGCCGGTACCGCTCTCGCGTCCCTCGGCGTGGACGTCGGCTACTGGCGCGCCTCCATCGCCACCTCGGAGCTTCACCGCTGTGACTCAGAGACGTGCTCTGGTGGCTCCGGCCAGCCCTCCCGCCGCCTCCACCTCACCGACGGAGATGACGACCCGTACTGCACCGCCGGCCACACCGGCCCGCTCTGCGAGGTCTGCGTCGCGGACTCGGACTACTTTAGCTCTGCCGAGGGGCGCTGCGTCGCCTGCCCCTCGACGGCTCGCTCCGTCAGCGTCTTCCTCCTCTTTGTCATCGTCATCGCTGTGCTCGCCGCCGCCTACGCTGGGCTCCGCCACCTCCCCCTCTCCCGCCGCCTCCGGCAGCGGGCCACCCGCATCGAGTCCGAGGTCGGCCTGCAGCCCAAGTTCAAGGTCCTCGTCAGCTTCTACCAAGTGAGCAGCATCCTCGGCGTCGTCTACGGCGTCCGCCTCGACGAGCACTTCACGCGCTGGCTCGACGTGCTCAAGCTGTTTAGCCTGGACCTGTTTGGCGTTCCCATCCCCGGCCGCTGCATCGGAGCCATGAGCACGCGGCTGCTCGTCGCAGGCATCTGGCCGTACATCGCCGCCGCCTTCGTGTCGCTCGCCATTGTGGCGGCGGCGGCGGTCCTCAACGTCAAGCAGGCATTCGACCACCAGCTGCTCGGCCGCCTCCTTTACTGGGCGATCTTCATCTTCTACCTCGCGCTTCCCTCCGTCTCGCGCTCCATCTTCAGCGCGAGGCTGTGCGAGTCCTTTGGCTACGATGACGCCACAGGCCAGCGCATCAGCTACCTGCTCGCCGACCCCTCGCTCACGTGCGACGCCGGCCCGACGTGGGACGACGAGACTAGCGGACTAGCGCCGTACTTTTGGGCCTTCTTCGCCCTCTGGCCTGTCCTCGTGCCGCTCGGCTTCTTGGCGCTGCTGCTCCGCGTCCGCACAGCAGTGGCTGCGCAGCGCGCTACGCCGCTCTCCCGCGCAACGAGCTTCCTCTGGCGGGACTACTCTGCCGGCTTCCTCTTCTGGGAGGTGCTCGACCTGGTCCGCAAGATCTTCCTCACCTCGATGGTGCTCTTCATCGACCAGGAGTACGGCTCCCGCAAGCTGCTGCGCACCGTGGTCGCCGCCATCATTTCGGCCACGTTTCTCACTCTGTTAGCGCTCGCCCGTCCCTACCGGCGCTCCGACGACCTCTGCCTCGCGTGCATCGCCAACTTGCTCCTCACCTGCTGCTTCGCGTCGGGAGTGGTCATCCAGGTCCGCGCCCCACGCTGTCCCTCTCTCACAGCTCCGCGCAACCTCACATCACCCGCCCCCTCGCCGCCGCAGCTCTGCGATAGCACTATGTACGAAGGCATGTGCTACAATCTCGTCGGCTACAAGACCTCGCGCAGCGCCACCACCTTTGTCGTCGTCCTCACCGCGGTCATGCTCGCCATCTCGCTAGCCGTCATCCTCGTATCGGCGGTCAGCGCCGCGAGGGCGAAGACCATGCGGCTCGCCTCTTCGAAGCGCGAGCCGATGCGCGACGGCATCACCCTCGCCGACGGCCAGGAGTGGCACCTCTTCCTCAGCCACGTCTGGAGCACGGGGCAGGTTTGCCACTCCCTTGCCTCACCAGTTTTCGGAGAAACCTGACCTGGCCTTCCTCCCTTATAGGACGCCGTCGCCGTCATCAAGAATGAGCTTCTGCAGTTCCTGCCCGGCTGCGAGATCTTCCTCGATGTCGACGATCTCAAGAACATCGGAGAGCTGGAGGCGTACATTGGTCGCTCGCAGGTGGTGCTCTGCTTCCTCTCGCGGGGCTACCTACGCTCGACAAATTGCCTGCGAGAGATCCGCGCCGCGCTGGAGATGGGCAAGCCGCTCGTGCTCGTCCACGAGGCAGACCCGGACAAGGGCGGGGGCACGCTCGCCGACCTGCGAGCCGAATGCCCCGAGGAGCTGCGGGCCGCCATCTTTGACGCCGGCTGGCCGATAGTGGTGTGGCATCGGATCGAAGCCTTCCAGCACGTCTCGCTCAAGGTCATCGCCGAGGCGCTGCTGCTGAAGACGCCAAAATATGAGAACGAGAAGGCGCTGCCCCTGTGCATCCCGGGCGAGCTTCGAGCCGACGACCTCGCCTTCCCCAAGCCGGTGGTTCTTTGGGCCTCGACTTTGAACGACGGGGCGCGAGATCTCGCCGATGCGGTCGCGGCGGCCGTGGCTGGCAGCATCTCCGTCACCGCCACAACACCCTCGCGCCTCTCCTCGCCGCCGCGCGCGAGCGACCGAGGCGGCGACGAGGCGACCCACATGCTGCTCTACCTGAAGAAATCGACGTGGGCCGGCGACGGCGCCGAGGCGCTCGCAGAGCAGGTGCGCGCCGCGCGCGAGGCCAGGCTGCCGATCGTCATGGCGCACGAGAATGATGCCGTCCGCGGCGGCTGCATCTTTGCCCACTTTTTCGAGGTGACGCCGCGCGACCTGATCTCCGATGGGCTGTACAACGACCTCGCCGTCGGCTGCCACGCGGAACCGCACCGGCAGGCGTCGATCGCCCTCCTCGCACAGGCGCTCGGCGCGACCAAGCAGACGGCTCAGTCGCGCGTTCGCCGCGTCACCGCCCTCGCTCGAACGACGCAGCCCCGCGGCTCCGCCCAGATGAGCCAGATCGTCTGACCACCACCATCTCGCACCACCACGTCCACGCATGTTCACTAGCTAGCACTGCGAAGCGAATTCTGCCCTCCCCGTCCTCCCTGCCTGTCTGCGCCTGCGGTCGCGAGTGTTTTGTCCCCTCCCCTTCACCCTCCCTGTCTGCGCCTGTGGCCTCCCTGTCTGCGCCTGTGGCGCCACAGGCGAGAGCCGAGACGTTTTTTGTCCCTCCACTTCTCCCTACCTGTCTCTCTCCCTGCCTGTCTCTCTCCCTGCATATCTCCGCCTGCGGCGCGAACGTTTTGTTTCTATAGCCCCTAATTTAGACACGACTAACTACGCAAAGTAGATGAGCGCGTCGATGCTCCACGCCAGCGCGAACGCCAGCGGGAGGTGAGCCAGATGAGGTGGCCATTGATGCAGCCGCGCACGTCGAGCATTTCGCCATACTTGGGCAGGATCTCGGCCATACCTGGGGTCGGTGCGCGCGCGTGGGGTCCTGCCTGTGGAAGAGCGCAGGGATGCTGAGCAGAACCTCGAGCACTGCACGCTGCACATTGAACGCCGCCGGAGGCGCCGCCTTGCCCTCGGCGCCGTCGGCCTCGGCGCCGCCCGCGCCGGAGAAGTGCGAGCTCTTGGGCGGCTCGGGGCTCTCTGGATCCTCGACGAGCGCGGTGGGTGGAAGCAGCGCGTCGACCCACTTGTTGTAGTTGGCGGCGTGGCGCTGCCACACCGCTTTGGTTCCCTCTCGGTAGTTGCTCTGCTCTCGGCTGACGGCTGAGGCGTAGTAGCGGTCGACGACGAAGAAGCAGCGCCGATTGCGAGCGACACATCCTACTCCGCGCTTAGTGTGGGTAACACGGTCTCGACGCGCTCTGTACGACGCCTGCGACCCGTCTCGGGTCAGGTGGCACGACGCTCATCGCCCAGCCTTCCTTTCCATCCCATTAGACAGCCCGGGAACGGTGGCGGTCAGAGGCACAATCATCGGACGATGTCGACGAGTTGGGTCGCTCTCGCGGTATCCAGGTAGCCCCCACACTAGTAGCACCCGCCATGGCCTCAGGGAGCGCGGGCGAGGGCGCTGGGAGCAACACCGACAAAAAAAATCAAAAGTGGTCATTATCACACCACCCGCGTATTTGCAACTAGTCCTCCGGGCCGCCGCCGCGGAGACGTGCACATAGGCAAGTTGGTATTTTCATATATGAACTTCAAAATAGTATTGGCTAGTCTAATTCTACTCATCACAACTCGCCAGGAACACCCCCACACTATAGGGTCATTGTGTAGCCCTGCTTAGAAGGAAAAGCAAAAGGTCTACTGCAAGGTCCGTATGGCTAGGTATGGCTCACCGTGTAGTCGGCCCACATACCGCACACTTATAAACAAGAGAGCAGGCGCCCCGACTGCAGGCGCCCCGTTCCTTTAGACCTTTTTGCGATAAATCACCCGCCGGGCACTGTGTACTCCCTTCCCGCGTCCACCGCCACGAGGCGCCACTCGGGCAGCACCAGCGCCGTGAGCTCGCCGCCGTAGCAGCATCCCGTGTCCAGGCCCGTCGCGTGCTCGTGCCTCTGGAGGCGCCGCTTGGCGTCGTGCCCAAAAACGACGTGCCGCACGCCAGCAACGACTGTCGGCTCTGGCCGCCACTCTTCTGCCCACGCGACGCCAGCAGAGGCGCTGGCAGCCGCCCACCACCCTCCGCCGTCCGCGCGCACCAAGTTTCGCATCGTAGTCATGTCCTCGGCCCGCTGTTCCGCCAAGGGCACGCCTGGGACCACGCCGGCGTGCACGACGAGGACCTCCTCTCGCTCGAGGCGGAGCGTGTGCGGCAGCTCTCGCAAGAAGGCCAGATCCGCCTCGCCGAGCGCGTCGACCCAAGCGTACTTGAGCTCGCTGTACTTCGAGTCGCTGCCTCGAGCGCCGGCCTCGGTCCTCGCCTCGTGGGCAAAGAGGGCCGCATCGTCGTGGTTGCCGCGGACGCAGGCGAAGCCGCTCTCGCGCGCATAGGCGACAGTCTCGGCTGAATGCGGGCCCTTGTTGACGAGATCGCCGACCAGGACGACATGATCGGTGCTGGCATCGAAGCCGCACGCCTGGAGGAGCGACTTGAGCTCATCAAGGCAGCCGTGGACATCGCCCACGAGGATCGTTCGCGAGCCTTCTCGCGTCACAAGCACGCGGTGGCTCTCTGGAGGCACGTGGCAGCGGCGGGGAGGCGATCTGCGAGCGGGCACCGCCGAGGCGAGGCACGCGGCGCCGCAGAGGAGACGCCGCAGGGCACCGTGGCATTTTCTGGATGTTGTCGCAGCGGCCATCTCACTTGGCGAGGGCGCAGCGGAGGAGGCGGCGAGGCGGCGCGAGCGGCGCGAGCGGCGCGAGCGGCGCGAGCGGCGCGAGCGGCGCTGCGAGGGGACCTCTATACATATATATGTAGCGAAGAAAAGAAAAACACCGCCCAGGGGGCGCCGATCCAACTCGGCAGGGGGTTCGGCGACGCGCTCGACGGATGACGCGTCAAGTGCGCCCGTGGTGCTCCTGGCGGCGTCTGCCGACGCGGGCTCGATCTTTGGAGCGTCGAAGCGCGAGTAGAGAAACTCGGTGGGCTTCCGGGTTCCGGCCTCTGCACTTGGAGCACTTGGAGTGCAGTCATCAACCTCACATCCAGGGCCGGGGAGCTAAGAAGCGCACCCAGCGGGCCGGATGATCGATATCGGGTTACGGCCAGAGAGCCCTAGCCCTGGGGGGGGTGCGCGTTCGCAGGGAAAGGGCCGTAAAGTAAAGGGCCGTAAAGTAAACATAGGTCTCCGAGGGTTGGTTCTGCGCTTTGGGTGTCCCCTCTAGCGGCGGAACGCCCCCTCTACTCGGAGCTAGTAAACACCAGACACGAGTGCACTTGGAGCACTTGGAGTGCAGTCGGTAACCTCACATCCAGGGCCGGGGAGCTCAGAAGCGCACCCAGCGGGCCGGATGATCGGGATCGGGTTACGGGCTAGTGTACCATATTTTCTTTCACTTTTTCTACTCGGAGCCAGTGATACGAGAGAGAGATTTTTAGCAATGTGTTTGTTGTGTTTGTGATACGAGAATACGCACATGTTACGAGAATACACACCGCCCCCACGGAATACCTGTACTACTCGACGATAATACAAGAATGCGCAGTTTGGAAGTTGCAGACGCCTATAAAGAAAAACAGCAAGCTAAATTTCGGCGGCTAAAAAGCAAAGGACGGGCGCTTTTGAAAGTACAATGTCTACCACAAAGCACCACTAGCGATTTCGCGCGGAGGGCGTAGTGAAGCGCTGGGGCGCTCACTGTGTGTTATTCGGGTGGGAATCCATCAGTGGTAACCGGCTTTCGTCACAGGTCCAAGCTCAGACGCCACACCAACACCACAAACACGCTCACTTCGCCGCTGCTGTAGGTGGATGGGCCCCCGGGGGCCCATGCCATTACTACGTCGAAGTACGGACCCGATCTCGGCACTCACGGGCTGCTACGCGCCCGCGCGCGGCGCGGGCCGCACCGCCCATGCCCCCGGGTCACCGACCCCGCCTCTCGGCCCTCTCGGCCCTCAGGACTACAGGAGCGTGCGGGAGACCGGCGAGGGGCGCTCCGCGCGCCGCCTGCAGAGCATCCAGAGGAATTGCCGCCTCCGCTGGCGGGGTCCCGCGCGTCCGCCCGCGCCCGCGCCCGCCCACGCCGCGCCCGCGGGCTCCGGATGCGCCGCCATCCTTCTCCTTCTTCTCGATGGCAGTCCGCGTGTGCTTGTCGACGGGTCGGCGGTGTGGTCGAGGGGAAGGTCGCCGGCGGCCGCAACTCCGCCGCCGCCGTCGCTCCGCCGGCTCTGATCGAGTATCGGGCGTTGGGCGGCGGCGCAAAGCGGGTCTGACGCATCCATCGCCACGAGCCTCGCAGAGGCGGTCGTGGCACACCTGGCGGCGGCTCTCGGGGCCGTCTCTACGGCGCTCGACGCCGTGTGAGGTCGGACTCGCCAGCGGCCGCAACTCCGCCGCCGTCGCCCCGCCGGCTCTGACCGAGTATCGGGCGTTGAGGGCGGCGGCGCAAGCGGGTCTGGCGCATCCATCGCCACGAGCCTCGCAACCGCGGTCGTGGCACACCTGGTGGCGGCTCTCGAGGCCGTCTCTACGGCGCTCGACGCCGTGTGAAAGGTGTCGCCGGCGGCCGCAACTCTGCCGCCGTCGCTCCGCCGGCTCAACCGAGTATCGGGCGTTGAGGGCGGCGGCGCAAAGTGGGTCTGGTGCGCCACACGGCCACAACCCTTGCCACCGCCCTTGCCGCCGCCCTTGCCACCCTTTGCCGCCTTGCCTCCGCCGCGGGCGGCGGTGGGAGCGGCCTGCTGGGCTAGCATGTTGTCCTTGCTGGGGACGGGCACGTGGAACGCACGTTACATGTTTGAACGGCCTCCAGAATTCAAACAAAAAATAGCCAAGGCCCTCTCGCAGCCCCTCCGACCCCCTGGGACCCGTGGGCGTCGAAGAGGCGCTCTCGGGGGGCCGTCCTGAGTTCATACTACCTCGAAGCTCACTGTACTGCGTCAAAGCACCGGCCCTGAGTCCGCAGATATTCAGTGGTCGAGCTCAGCCTCTCAAAGTCGTTGGTGTAAGTACACCTTGAACCGCAGCGTGCGGTGCAAACAAGTTGAGCTACTGGTCGACACGAGACTCAAGAGAGAGAGAGAGAGAGAGAGAGAGAGAGAGAGAGAGAGAGAGAGAGAGAGAGAGAGAGAGAGAGAGAGAGAGAGAGAGAGAGAGAGAGAGAGAGAGAGAGAGAGAGAGAGAGAGAGAGAGAGAGAGAGAGAGAGAGAGAGAGCTAGAGCAGGCCCCATGGGAGCCCCCCCCCCCCCCCCCGGCCCGAGAGCGCCGGGCGCCGCGTGCAAGGCGCATATACACTCGTACCGCACGCCTCGGCCCTCACCCGGCGCGCTCCCGCGCCAGAACTTTATTTGGATCCATGGCACGTACAAGGTACAACGTAAGCACCCTCTCTCATACGTAGAATGCACACACACTGATGCCGGGTTGGCAGGTATGGAGTACTGAGTGGGGTGCTGGGAGGGTACTCAACCGCATGTGCATGCCGCAGCCGAACAGGAGCTGCCCGGCGATGGTGTTCAAGTTCGCTCCGTGAGTACTTTACTCGCCGGCGCGCCTCCTTGCTCCATCTTGACCACCGCTGAGACTCGAGCGCGGCGGCGTCCCGCCTTCTTGGAGTAGATGCAGTAGCCAACGCCGAGGAGGGAGGCCCCCACGCCCAAGCTAGCCACGGCTGCGGCTATAGCGACCACAGGGGAGCCATCGCTGGCAGGATAGGTTGACCTCGGCTTCGGTTCTACTTCGACCTTTGAAGCTGACGATGGCGAGGGCGACGCCGAGGGTGGCGGCGAGGGAGACGCTGAGGGTGGCGGCGACGGCGGCGTAGAAGGCGACTGCGGCGGGAGGTAGTGAGTCGACGGCGACACAGATGGCGATTTCGGCGGCGTAGAAGGCGACGAAGGCGGGGGGTAGTGCCCGTAGATGAACAAGTCCCAGCTGTACAGGTGTGAAGTCAGACCGGCCACCGAGTCTGGCTTGGTGTCGGTCACGCTCAGCGTCCACGTGCCGTCTGGGACCTCTCCCCAAGCCCGCACCGTCGTCATCTTCCAGTTGAAGGTCGGGTGGCGGAGCGATGGGCCGGCCCCACCTGCTCCAATCCACCCGGCCTCCTCGCAATCGTTGTAGTCGCAGGCGCAGGTGCTGGGGTTGTCGCAGACGCCGTCGTTCCGAGTCGAGCACGTGTCGGTTGCGGGGGAGCACTCGAGTGGCGCGGGGTTCTCATCCTCCGGGCGCGGGCCCGGCATCAAGACCGAGCGGGTGCCGGATGGTGACGTGAGCTCAACCTGAAGGTCGCCCCGCGAGGTGTGGTCGAGGAAGAGATATACCTCCACCCACTCGGTGAAGAAGTCGGGGCTCGGGGCGTCAACCTCCACCGTGCGGGCCAGCGTGGTGCCGTCGTGGGGAACGACGACTGGGAGAGGTGCCGCGTCGGCGCAGTAGCCCCAAGTGGCTCCCTGGCAAGTCGGATCAGTCACAAAGCACCACTCTCGAGCATCCCCACCAGGGTTGCCGCAGAAGTTGCTCACCGGGTCATGCGGGTGGTGGACCCACGCCTGCCTGCAAACGCACCCTTCGGTCGTGACGGGAAGCCGAAACTCGCCCAGCCCGTGCGCTTTGACGAGCGACTCCTCTGTCCACTTTGTCCACGATCGCGCCGCCATCACTGCGGCGTTGGCATCCACCATCCCAAATCCAAACTTGACGTTGTGGTGGTAGCCTGCCGCGTTGGTGGTCCAGCCCTCGTCGTCGGGGTCTGTCACGTAGGACGTCTCCGCGAGCACGCCCTGCACGTCGCGGTGCGTGAGGTGCGGCGCCGCCTCGAGCATGAGCGCCACGACGCCGGACACGACTGGGCACGCGTACGACGTCCCTTGGCTTTGTGCTGCGCAGCCACCGCCGTTGCTCGCGACGAACCACGAATTTGTGTGGTCGCCGGCGTCGCCACCCGGAGCGCTGATAAAGAGCGAGGCGCCCGTGGTCGAGTAGTAGCTGTGGCGGCCGCGCTTGTCGGTCGCCCCGACGGAGATGGTGAATCGATCATGCTGGAAAAGCTGGTGGTTGACATCGTCGCCTTCTCCGTGGCCATTGCCAGCCGCAAAGACGTAGACAATGCCAAGGCCGCTCCGGCCCGAGTGCACACCCCGCATGAAGTAGGTGACTTGAAGAGGGTTTAGGTGCTGGAAGCTGCACTCCGTCCACAGATGCGTCCATTCTGCGCACTCTTCGTCCGCCTCGTAGTTGTAGGGGTTCGTGCAGTACTCCAGGATGGTGGAGTCGCATGAGCCAGGCAACCAGGAGTCGGTGCAGCTGTCGCATGGGCTGGTGCCGACGACTGCTACCGGCGCGAAGGGGCACGTCTGCAGTCTCCGAAACCGCGATCGTCGTTCGACGTCCAGTTCGGAGCATGGAACTACGCCCCAAGAGTTGGACGAGATCATATTGGTCTCGAGTGCGTATGGTGAGTGCAGCGACATCATCTCCTCGAGCGAATTCTCACGGAAGGAGCACTTGGAGAGGTTCGCGTCGTACGCGACCCCGCGGGAGCACTCGTTGTTTGCCGAGGCCAACGCGATTGCTGCGCACGTTGTGCCGTGGTTGTCAATGTTGATCTCCGACCGTGGGCAAGATGCCTCCGAGTCGTACTTGTACTCAAAGTCCGGGTGCGTGTGGTCTGGCCCGAGATCGACGATATTGATAGTGACGCCCGCGCCGGTGACGCCCGAGGCCCACACCGGCTCCACGTTGATCAAGTCATACGCCCACTGGTTGGGCTCGTACAGAGGGTCTGAGATGGACTCGTACTTGCTGTCACAGCCACTGCTGTTGACCCACGCAGAGTAGGGGCACATGTCGCTGTCGCCTGGTCGCGAGACGGAGGGCTGGGCGTAGCAAAGCGCCGCCCCTGGGCACCAGACGTAGCCGAGAGCAGTGCACCCAGAGCACGTGTACGGCTCGAACCCGCCGTCATGTCCGCAGTCGCCGCCATCGTAGAGGCATGCTGCCGAATTGCAGGTCTGGTCGCAGTAGCCGTCGCCGATGAACGAGTCCGGGCAAAAGTGTGGACACGACGGCCACCTTGTATTACCACTGTCGATCAGCTGCCTTGCGGGCGAAGTCGCCACAGAGCCACACGACACCAAGATCACGCCCATGGCGCTGCGCGTCGAGGTGGGTGGGACCGTCATGCTGGGCGCCGACGAGCGGCAGCAGAGGCCAAGGAGCTGACTTCCGCTGGGGTTCGCTCCCAGTTTTTTTTCGCTACTAGTCAACAAACCTAAAAGTATTCGATAGTAAAGTGGGCTGCGGGCGCTCTCGAAGGCAATCTCAAAGTAAAATTCCGGCTTTTCCGAGTCGAAGGCGGCGCGGAGTCTCGGAGAGCGGCTGGCCCCGCTTCTCTCGCGTCCCCCGGCCCCAAACTCTCAAACTCCCCCACTCGGGCTTTCGCATAGCGGCGAGTTTCGGCGCTGGTGCCAGAAGGGAGGATGAATGGCGGAGTGGATTCTCCGTTGCGGGGGGGGCAGCGGGGCGACCTTTCGGGTGCCTCGCAACCGCCTGCATCAAGTTGAAAAACTCTTCTGGCGAGGCGCCAGCGGTCTGGGCAGACTGGCTGCCAACGCGAGCAGCGCGGTTGGCAAGGGTTTCGCGAGAGTGCCAGCGGCAGCGGCGGCCCCCGCGCCGCCAGCATCGCCGTCAGTGCCTCCGCCGGCACAGGCTGGAGGAAGAGTTGGTGGCGGCGGCGGTGGTGGCGACGGGGGTGGTGGCGGCGGTCACGTGGTGGGCGGTGGTGGCGACGGGGGTGGCGGCGGCGGTCACGTGGTGGGTGGCGGCGGTGTTGGCGGCGGCGGTCACGTGGTGGGTGGCGGTGGTGGCGGTGGGGATGCTGCAGGGCGGCTTGGCGGCAACCTGTACTTCGACAGCGAGAAAGAATTCGGCCGCATTGTGCTCGATGATGGCGAAGTGATTTTGTGCATCAGAGCGACCTCCCGGAGGCTTTTCTTGGCTCGGTCCGGAGAGCCTTGGCTCGGTCCGGAGAGCCTGCGCGGGTCACGTCCACCGCCGAATTTGATGAAAGAAAGGGAAAATGGAGGGCGGCCGAGGTCCAATCCGAACACGCGAGCGGGGGCGGCGGTGGTCGTGGCGGCGGTGGTGGCGGAGGTGGTGATGCAGGACCGAAGACTCAGACGGGCACATTCTTGCGCTTCAATGGTGATTTCGGTTTCATCCGGCCGGATGGTGGCGGCGACAATGTCGTCGTGCATCGGACCTCTCCGCCGAACTTGCCTCGGCCCTCGAGCGGGGCGCCGTCGTGCTCATGTTCACCGCCGTTCTTGATGAAAAAAAGGGAATCCTGAAGGCGATCGAAGTCGAAGTTAGGAGCGGTGGCGGCGCTGGTGGCGCAGGGCGCGGAGGGGGTGCGGTCGGTCACGCAGTCGTCGCAGCCCCTTGGAGTGTGAAGGCTTCGTAGCCCTCCGGTCTACTATGAAGATCTGCAGGATCCGAGCGAAAAAAAGCAAGCGAGTGCAGTCGTCGCGAGGACAGTGATTGGTGAGCGCAGCCCCCTCGCGGGGGCGAGGACGTTGAGCGCAGCCTTCGCGGGCGGCTCCATGGCGCCACTTGCTGCGGCAGGTGGCGAGAGGGAAAGCAGCTGAAGCCAGATGCGCGGGCGGGGGCGGGGAATAGAGACTGACTCTGGGTCAACCTCACACTCCGTTTTCGCGGTTCGGGCTTCGGCTCTCCGCTTCTCGTCTCTGCGCCTCGCACCGCTCGTGCGTCGTGGATCGCACAGGACCGAATCTGATGTGAAATGATAAGAAAGAGCCGCACAGCAAGCAAGACGCCCTACGTAGTGGCTCGCAGTCTCACCCGCGCGCGTGATAGCGCGCAACCGGCGCGCGTCCGTCAGAAAGACAGCAGGCGACCCAATCAGCCCTCCACCGCCCCCGGCTCCGAGCTGTCGGCGTCGAGGTCCGCGCTGCCCGCCACTCCTGCGCCCGACTCGCACTCGGGCGGCGGCGCGCGCTCTCTCCGCCATCACCTCCTCCTCGCCGGCGCGGGCGCATCGGCAATCTCCGCCCGACCTGCGCGGGTAGCAAGCTCCTCGCGCTCTGCCTGCGTGGCAGGGGACGCGACGTGGTGAGGGAGGGGCGGCTGCGCAACACTCGGCGCTGTGCGAGCCGCCGACGAGTGATCTCGAGTGATCTCGAGTGATCTCGAGTGATCTCGCGTGATCTCGCGTGATCTCGCCTCGGAGGCGACGGCGGCCAGCTGATCACGGAGAAGTCGGAGGGTCTCCTGGTGCACCTGGAGCCATTCACTCACTGATTAGGGCTAGGGCCAGGGTTAGCATCTAGGCCGCGGAGTGCGCCGGCTTGACGTGCAGCGCGGCTAGGGCTAGGTAGGGCCAGGGCTAAAGGGCTTGCGCCGGCTTGACGTGCAGCGCGGCTCCGAGTCGGGCCAGCGCCGCCTGAGGTGAGGCAGGTCCGTGAGGTGAGGCAAGTCGGGCGGAGGCCCGCGCGTCCGCCTCTTCCGCAGGGTACCGAATCCAGTGTGGGCTCAGTCCCGTGGGTGGTGCGGTGGGCTTCGCGTCCCCCTCTCCCGCGCTGTGCGTGCGCTCGTTGGATGGCTGTGGCTGCTTCGTGTGGGTACGGGCCGCCCTTGCTCGCCGTGGGTCGGAAGTCTGGAGGCACCTTCACGCTCAATCGCTAGCCCCCCCCCCCCACCC